TGATTTGTGTAATTTGGGCTGTTTCCACTTTTTAGTTGTTACAAATAATGCTGATGTAAACATTTGTGTACAGGTTTTTGTGTGGGCACATGTTTTCATTTCTCTTGGGACTAAATTTCCAGTGGAACTGTTGGGTCATATGGTACTAACATCTGAGGAGTTTGTTCGATGCACCCAAAAAAAAAGCACACTTTGCTAGGTGTGGAAGAGAAGTACAAAGAACTGCCCCCAAAACTGTCTGGACCAACACTACCAGGCAGTTTTTGAATAAACCTAATCATCTATACCCTTAACTTTTTGTTATCCATACACACAAGGATAGAAAGAACCTTACTAAAAAACCCAAATTCATTTTCTCCACTCTGGTAACAATAATGTAGTCAAGTGACCACAAAACAAGCATTAAGTAAAAACACATTTCTCCCTAAATTCTATAAAATCAGCACCTAAATGATAAAAGGTCAACTATACTTTATTACTTATACTTTATTACAGACTTCCCACAGTTAATTCCAAACTAGTTCAACAATAACATATATTTGCACCATCTTTTTGCTCACTACGAGTTAGCCAAATATATTTGGATACAAGAGAGAAGTTATATCATTCAAATACATACTATATTCCTCTTCTCAAGGTTGGACTATGCTACACCATGAAACTTATATGCCAAAAATATTACAGACCCCACATACAACCCTAACATAGTCTCCAATATGCAATAAGGAAATATAAGAAGATTCACCATGACCCAACCACTCTAGAATCCTTAACTCAGAGAAGTTTCACAATATTTCATTTTAAATGTTACCCATTTCTTTTTTTTTTTTAAGATTTATTTTTTTTTAGACAGGGGAAGAGGGAGAAAGAGAGGGAGAGAAACATGAGTGTGTAGTTTCCTCTCACACCCCTGACTGGGGGACCTGGCCTGCAACCCAGGCATGTGCCCTGACTAGGAATCAAACCAGCGACCCCTTTGTTCACAGGCCAGCGCTCATTCCACTGAGCCACACCAACCAGGGCTTATTTTAAAGGTTACCCATTCCTTAATTTCCAAACGTACTGTAATAAATTTTATGTTCATATAATGTGTGTATAAATAGGGAACAAAGAATGAATAATCAAAGACAATCTCATGGGTCCTTACGGTAAATATCACAAGGCTTTTTAAATTATGAAGTATGTGAAGCACGAAAAAGGGATAAGAATACAAACACCTATGTGCCCATCACCAAGTTTAAAACATAAACATTACCAAAATAGTTACACAGACCCTGGGGTAATAGCATTATTGCACTCCACTTCCTTCAACATAAAGATACCCAGTCCCTGAAATTTAGCCCTTATTTTTACTTTTTTGGTATATTTTACCACACACATACATATTCCTAAACCAGTAAGTCATAATCATATTCCAATATGATTAATTCCAATTGGTTAATCTTCATAAACCAATGAAGATTAGGGGCAATTTTGTTCCCCATGGAATATTTGATAATATCTGGAAATACTTGGGGTTAGCATTATTGCAACTAGTGGGCAGAGGCCAGGGAAACTGCCCTACTGTACAGAACAGCACCCTACTACAAAGAATTATCTAATCAGTCCAACAGAGCAGTAGTACCAAAGCTAAACAACCTTGTTCTACACAATAAACAATAAACTATTGTTTTACACTTTAACACACCATAGGTCTTCTTTTCCAAGAAACTTTATTTTCTTGCTTTATTTACTTAACAATTTTCTCTTCTGTACAGAACTTCACCTTATAAATTCGCGGTTGCACCTTTAAGTTTTTTTCCAATTTTTTTAACATAAATTGCTTTTACATAAAATATTGCTGTGAACGTACTTATACAAGCCTCTTGATGCTCAATTTGAGATTCTGTCTAAGGCAGTGGTTTACAAAGCGTGGTTCTTGAACTCGTAGGGGAGTCCCCAAGACCATTTCAGGGGCTTCATGAGGTCAAAAGTTATTTTCATAACAATACCAAGATTATATTTGTCTTTTTCATGTTGGCATTGCAATGGTGGGTAAAAATGCTGGTGACTTAGCCAAATTAAAATACTCAAATGAGACATATGAGTAGCCTGTACCTCCTGATATAATGCACTTCTTAGTGCAAAATATCAGGTCTATGGCATTCAAACCTAAAATACATAACCTGAATTTAATCATGAAAAAACAGTAGACCAACCCAATTTAAGAGACAGTCTATAAAATTACTGGTTAGTGTCAAGGTCATGAAGACAAAGTAAGACTGAGTAACTGGCCCAGATTGGAAGAGTCTGAATGACATCTAAATGCAATGTGTGATTCTGGATTGGATCCTGTGGAAAAATTTTTCATCTAAATTTTTTCATTTTATATCATTATACCAATACAGGGGAAAACAGTCTAAGCTACTGAATCATTTCTTTGTGTTAAATATTTTTTCTAAGTGGAAGATAAGTATAGGGAATACCTAATATATTTTTGTTAACATCTTATTTCACATGTAAGCTTTTATCAGCAACTTATCCATTAAAGCAGCAATGAGTCAGTGTAGTTGATTCGCAAAATTTCAGGAATCTGTTACTGATTCTAGAATTCTTATATAATACAAAGTGAAGGTTTGCTCTCACAAAACAAAGATCTAATTTATTTTAATAAAATTCATTTATCCTTAATACTATGTTCAGGAGCCCTGACCAGTGTTAGTTGGGTGTCGTCCAGGCAAAAGGTTGCCGTTTCAATTCCTGGTCAGGGCACATGCCTGGGTTGCAGGTTCAGTCCCCAGTTGGGCACATAGGAGAGGTAGCACATGGATGTTTCTCTCTCACAACGGATCACTGTTTCTCTCCCTCCATTCCCCTCTCTCAAAATAAATAAATAAAATCTTAAATATATATACTATATTCAGTAAAAAATAGTTCAAATTTAAAATCTGATACTTTTTAGAATGCACAGATAAGCTACTCTGACAAAGCCTAACATCCTGAAGTGGGTACATAGTTATTGTTAGAGGCAATAAAGAGAGAGATGAATACAAGTCAATTTAGTTTTCGAGTAAATAATTCCTAAAATTGTGTTTCTTAGCTGGTTTTTTATACATTTGAAAAGATGTACATGCAGGACCAAAAGAAAAGATTTCAACAGTACAAAAAGGGGCAGCCATTGTTAGAAGTTTCTTGTGTGTTCTTACACAATACTCTATTCATTACAAGTATATTAATATACTGTAAATCTCCTCTTTTAAAACACAAATGGCAACAAACTATATTGTCTTCTACCTTTTTGTTTCTTAACTTAGTAATACATATTGGTGATTGTTCCACATTAGCACCTCATTCTTTTATAGCTGCATAGTATTCCAGTGACTGGACACACTTTTATTTATCCAGTACTTTTTTGATGGGCATTTATATTGCCTTGGGTCTTCTTATCTACAAAGATGCAGTGAAAAAATCCTTGAATGTGTGTCCTTATGCATTTGTGCTGAGTACATCTGAGATGGAATGGCATCCAAAGATACACATAATTTAACATTGTGGTAGATACTAATTGTCCTCCAAAGACATTTTACCAATTTACACTCCTAGCAACCCTGTATGAGGCATACCTGTTTTTGTACATTCTTAAACTTTTAATCATGCTAGCTCAAGCTAAAGTTTGACCACAACTCAAAAATTCGGAAGCATCTTGGAATCAGTAATTGTAGGTTTATTGGAAAACTTAAATATTTTTCTAGGGTAAAGGTAGTAACGAATCCTGTACTACAGAGACTTGTTAAAGGGTATTAATGTTGTGTAGTATGGAGTATATTTATCCTATCAAGAGTTCCATTATCTTACATAAAGCAGATGTTTTCCAGAGGTAATTGTTTTAAAATCTTAGTTTAATTTATAAGACTATTCCACACATTATTTAATTTTTTGGGTATAGTAATTCTTCTTGTTCAACTGATTCTTTGACCAAACATGATAAAAGCTCTCCTAGATGCAGGGCAGCTCAACTTCTTATGAAATGCTGGAACAAATCACAAACTCTTGGTTGTGGTTTTGCACCAGGCCTATAATACTTTCCGTGTTTTTCTTTTTCTTTTTTTCCTTCAAAATACTTAACAAGAGGTATCCATTGACATTTTATTACACTTTGAAGATTTAATAAGTATTATATACAGTACTTGGTATTTATTTACATAACAGTTTTAAAAATTAAAACCTCTTATTCTGAAATAATTTAAGGCTTACAAAAATTACAAAACTAATAAAAATAGTTCCCTTTGGCCCTTCAGTCCTATTCTTCAAATATTAACGTCTTATAATAAAGTAGAATTACTGAAACCAGAAAAATAACATTAACACATTATTAACTAATCGGCAGACTTTATTGAGATTTCACCAGTTGCCCCACTAATGGCTTTTTTCTGACCCAGGATCCAATCCAGGATCACACACTGCACTTATCATTCAGTCTCTTCCAATCTGGGCAAGTTACTCCAAGTCTTGGGGTGGGGGGTGGGGAGGGAAGGTTAGACAGATCTCTTAAAAAATCTGAGGTACAAAGGGCCCCTCAGCAATTGTAACCCGTCAACTAAACACCAGATGGCAAGGCAAGCTTCCTTTCGGACAGTTTCCACTTGGAATCTGATTAATTTCAATGGTTTATCAGACAGATCTCTCCAGATCCCTTCCCTAGAGAACGAGGAAGGGGAGGACTGCCTGTTGTCTTCCCAGTGCTTTGTGCCTTCCAGGCTTGTAAGCATCCTGGTGATGGTACTACCCATCATTTCCCTTGATGATGGGCGGCAAGGGATAAGGGCTCTTTCCTGCAAGTTTTTGTTTGTCAGGTATTGAACCTAAAATTCCCTTTGGCTCTTTCCCTTTCCGCTCGTTTCCAGTCGGGGCTGCGAGAAAGGCGTTCCACCCAGGCCTTCTCCCAGGCCCGACGCCCGAGCCCACCCAGCCTCGCCCCTCCCACAAGGGCGCAGGCCCCGGGCCAGGTGGCAGCGGCTTACCCGTGGGCGCGCTGTCCAGGATGCGCAGGTCGTAGGCCCCAGAGCAGCGGTAGTTGGCGGCGGTGCCGTTGTCCCACACCACTACCACCTCCTCGGGGCTCTCGAAGCTCCGGACTGTGCCCACATGGCCCTCACCGCCGTCCTGCTTGCCCCACTTCCAGTCCGGGCCGCGGACTACCCGGGCCCCGACCCCTTCCACCATCACCCGGTTATTCCGGGAGTTACTCATCGGGGCCCGAGCGGTGGGCTCCGCCGCTGCCGCTGCCCCTGCCGCTGCCGCCGCCGCCGCCGCCGCCGGGGGGCCCGTGAGGCAGTTGGGCCCGGGCCGGACTCTCGGCGTCGGCGGGGGCGGCAGCGAGCCCCGGGGGACGTGGGAATAACTCACGGGAGCGGCGGCGCGATCCCCGCCGAGCCCACAGCCGTTCCCCAGCCGTGGCCGTGGCCGCCGCCGCCGCCGCCGCTGCCGCCGCGCCCCCTGCTCACACTGGAGGCTGGACCTCAGCGGCTCAAAAGCGGCGGCGGCGGCGGGCGAACGAGGGGGAGGGGGCCGTGGGCGGGGACTCGTCCGCTTCCTCCGCGCTCCGCGGCCGGGCTACAGCGACGGCCGCCAGGAAACGACGCTCTCCCCTGGCCGGGAGCGCGGGGAATCGAGAGAGGCTACCCCGGGGGGCCCGTGGAGGGCGGCGGGGCGCAAGTTGAACTGCCGGCCTTTCTTCTCCCCCGGCCTCTCGCTCTAGAGGGTGCGCCCGAGGGCCGGGGACGCCTCCTCCCCCGTGGGCAGCGATGGTACCTCCCGGCGTCCGGCGAGCGCCCGGGCCCAGGAGATCCTTTCTCTCAGCCCCACGCACGCCGCCGCCGCCGCCGCGCTCCGCCCAGCCACAGAGTCCCCTCCGGGCGAGAGCCGCTCCACATCCGGATACTGACCCACCCAAGGCCGGAGCCGCACGTTCTCGGAGTAACTAGGAAGGATCCTCAAAAACAGTAGGGTGGGTAGGATTTTGGAGAACCGCGCAACCCGGGAGAGATAAGGAGAAAAATCGACCCCTAAATGTCAGTCCAGGGCCCAGTGAGAGTGCGCATGCGCGCGGCCCGTTTTGGTTTTTGTTTGGTTTTTTTTTTGTTTGTTTGTTTTTAATGCTGGGGGTAGGAGCCGAGCTTCACCCTGTGGCGGTGGAGGGGCGGCTCCCTGCAGTTGCTAACCCTTGGTGCCGCGCGCCTCATTATCTGTGAGATAAGGGGCGGGACGAGGAACTCTGGCTGGCAGGCCTGGAGGTGGGGCTGGAGGAAGAGAGGGTAGAGATGCCATCCGAGCTGCTGAAACTGATTAACTAGGATGAGGTCAGTCATTAAGTTCTAGAGTACCTGGGTGTACTAAGTGTGAGTTTGGGATTAGGTGTTGTTTTAGTCTCTTTTAACAGGACTGGGACAGGCAGCCTATATTTTTCCATGTGTAAATTGAAACATTTCCAACGAGAGTGAGTGATTTGAGTGGAATGGCACTAAATGATGTGTGTCTTGCCTTCACGCAGAGTCAAGGTGGACTCCAAACACCACAAGCTTCCTGGAAAGTTTACAAGCACCTTGCCCATTGATACCTTCCCCTACCCACAACGTAATTCAGCCCGTTTCAAAATACAACCTCGAAACGAAAATAAAAGGACTATAAGAGTGGTTTCTGGCTGCTGGTACTTAAATGACACTATGATATGTAGGATTTAAAATCATTGTTTCACAGCCCAGCATGGATGCATTGTAAAGCGTAATCTGTTGCCTTTCCTGAAAGTCAAGGGAAGAGGGAAAACTCCCCGGAATTGAATAATCGAGTGGAAAAAAGAGGGTGTAAAATGTAACCAATGAATTATGTTGTGAAATAAATAAAATGCTCTAAGTGTGTTCATGTAAATAAAACAGGAAAACACCAATATGGAATCCCAAAGGCCAAGAAGAGCTAATTTTAGAAACGAAACATAAAATACTTGCTCAAAATAGGCCAGCCAAACTTCTAGTAATTTCAAACATTTTCATCCTGGAAATTTTAAATGCTATTGCCAGAGTTACTGGACTGCAACTATTCAATTAAGGACACAAGTATTCCTGCTCTGCCAACTCTTTCTCTCTGGGATCTTTTCTGGTTTTCTTCTTTTCTTGTTAACCAGTTAAATTGATCACATGAATTAAGAAGTTGATAAAAAGATTTTAGAAAAACTATAGCCACTACACAAATTATACTTATTGACTTGTCAGTTGACTCAAGTAAAGGCCAACAGAGATGTTACAATAGGGCAACCTTGCATTTTACATCAAACAGTATATTAATCATTGTTTTCACATGTTTAATCATGTTTTATCTCACCCAGGAATTTTATACTTACTAAGATGTAGTCTAATTAGATAGGATTTTATTCTTAATATCAGAAATTAGTTACAATAACTATAAATATTTTTGCCATTAGAATAGAAAAGGATCTTAAGAGGTGATCTACCCCACATCTACCCCAATGGTTTTCTTTTCTTTCCCTCTCCCCAAACTCCTCTGTTCTTACCCTGTAAGGGAGTTAGGTTCCCTGGATAAAACAGTATAGCAAGGCTGTAGTCTTCCCTTCTACCTTTGCAGGGGCATGACAAAAACTCGTTAAAACCTCTGGAGTACACTAAACACAAATATGAAAACCTCAAATTAGCCCAGTCTCTATATTTGATAAGAAAAATGAGGCCAGGACTGAATAACTTGTCCAGGACTACAGAGAAAGTTAAAAGATAAAGCTCATATAATACTGGATGTATTTCTCTATATTCAACACTCTCTTAGCTATGCATCACCTTATTAAATACATTGTAAATTTATAATGCTATCATAATTGCTAAGACTATTTCAAGACCCTTAATATAGCTTGCCAATGGTCTCTAAATGTTTTGATCATAAATCCTTTCACTGCAAAATTTTTAACGTGTATTTCCAATATATCTACTTATTTATGTATAAATTATATATGTACTCCCATGTCACATTATAAAACATACTCAAAATACAAATTATAAGAGGAAAGTATAAAATACATAGAGAAGTTTTCATACTTTCTTCCCTTCAGTAGATCATCTTCTGCTTCCCTCGATGTTTAAACTGGTATTCTCCAAAGTAGACATACTGTAATTTGACCACTGTGTCATACATATATCTGCCATGTTTAGAACCCATTCACCTTACACTTGCTTATCTGCCCATTGGTTCTGAAATATTTAGGGTCACTCAAAACTAGTAAGTTTTTTACTTCAACCATAAGTAACATAAAAGAAACAAATCCTTGCCCCAGAATTGAAGTAGTTTTTCTATTCATGTACTATTCTACTTCTATGAATAAATTTGTGGCTGCTTTACAGTTTACAGAAATGTACAATATTTGGAGAGCAACTTTATAGGTTAGAGTTATATCTAGCACATATCACTCAGTCACATTCCGTAGTTTAGAATTTAGTCACATCTAACTGAAAGAGAAGAAAAATGTAGCTTAGCTGGGTGCCCAAGAAAAAAAGTATATCATCTAGTATCCACTTAGGAAAACATAGATCGCTCTAAATATTCAAAAAGAAGGAATTTTTTCCAGCAACTTGTTTGCAAAAATGTTGGAAGGGCTGCAGAAGCAAAAAAAAAAAAAAAGAAAAAAAAGGTTAATAACTACTGGAAAACACTATCCTCCAGGACTAGAGGAGGAAAAGAGAAAATGATGTTTTCTAGGACCCATCACCACTGTGTCATTGAGGCTGCAGATACTGGAAACTGCTGTTTAGTAGTAAGGTGGGAGCCCAGGCTCACACTGAAGCTGCAGGGGACCAGGAGCTCAAAGTCCCCAACCATGGTCCCTACCACTGCCAAAGTAAGAGCCCCATGAGTGCAGGGCAGCATATTCTGCCTCTGCAACCCCTGGAACCTGAGTAGGAACCCAGAAGCTGCTGGAAATTCCTTCAGAAGCAGGAAACCAGAAAAAAAAAAAAAAAAAAGAACAGCTTTCCTCTTGTCAATTGACCTCCCATTAGACTTCCCCAATTAATAGGAATAGTCTACCCTGTTGGGAACTCAGCACCATTCTCAACATTCTACCATACTTAAACTTTCACATAACAAATAACATCATGCATTTGCCTAACAGAACCCAACTATTTTACTTAAAATGAAGATACCATCATCCTCTCGCCCCCATAAGGAGAGAGCATCTGACTACCAGAGCTAGAGTTTTTCTGGTTGTATGGATCAAAAATTGACTTAATAAGGTGCCCATCGCTTTAATTCACGGTGATTCATAGCCACCACCAAAGATCTATGTGAGTTAAGACATTCTAATTCACATAGAGCAACTGCATTCACCTAATTGCTGGTGGTCAAGCACTGACACCTGCCCTCTGTTACTCTGGCTAGAAATCAAGGAATCTATTTCCCTGGTGAAATTTCCAGCCATCACCCTTGAACTGCAGATGGCAGCCCTCAATGAGCTTTTTAAAGATTCTGGTGATCCACCCTGTCCTAGGTGGCTCAGTTGGCTGGAGCATCATCCCCTATACCAAGAGGTTGTGGGTTTGATTCTGTCGGAGCACATACTGAGGCTGCGGGTTCAAAGCCCTGGCCAGGACTTGCATGAGAGGCAGCCAGTTGATGTTTTTCTCTCACATCAGTATTTCTCTATTTTCCTCTCTCTCTAAGAAATTAATTTTAAAACCATGTCTTCAGGTGAAGATTTAAAAAAAAAAGATTCCAGTGATCCCTTCATCAATGCAATGTCTTAATGAAAAGAGTGTTCTCTGCCACAACTTTTCCTGCTCCCAAAACTTTGGGTTTTCTTCCTAGAAATTATACCAGGGAAGTTTTGGTATCTCAACCTACTGAAAGTAAACCACTATTAAGTCCTGTTTTCAGCCAACCAACCTGCTTCTTGAGCTTAACATTGTATCTAGAAATCTCTGGTAAGTGCTTCCATGTTAATAAATTCAGTCCAATCCAATGTTAAGTTCTGCTCTTTTTCTTCTTTTTCTGGCACTTATAGAATCCATCCCTACACATAATCTTTGGTCTATTGACAATATAAATTTGCCAAACCTTGCAATTGTCAGGGGTGGAGGGTGGCGGTATAATCTAACTTCTCCCAGATCAAACAAGAAACTACCTCAGATGAATTTGCTACAGGGTCTTCAATCAAAAGAAGTCTAGTCTCCTCAGACACCAGGAAAAGAAATGTTTTGGTTGGCAAAGAAAGATCCAAAGAAAGAGGAATGAAATACTACTCTTGAATAAAAAAGAACAAACTTAGTGTACATAAGTTGGCTGGATCTTAAGTGAATTATCTCAAAGGATTACATACTACACAATTCCATGTACGTAATGTTTTGAA